TAAGACTATACTGCACAGAAATAAAATTTTTACAGTGGTTGGGGTGAAGGTTGGGGGAGGAGGGAGGGTTGTAACTAACATTTTGTTAGTTTTAGCTTTAGTTTTGGTGATGTTCTGTTTTTTTAAGCCAGGTAGTGGGGCCTCCCTGGTGGCACAAGGGGTTAAGTCTCAGTACAATCAAACTAACACCAGCCACTGCAGCAAGAGTTCCATGGCAGCAGCATGAGTTCGATCCCCTGCCAGGGAGCTAACCCATATGGCACAGCAGATCTCTTCTATCTCTTGTGCTGCTCCCCTCAGCGGTTTATTTTGGTAGATCTGCCTATTCTGCTCCCCACTCTGTCTCTGCTGAATCCTCCACCCCCTGCACCTCTGGCCTACACCCCAGTTCTTGTATCCATACATAAATAAAAATAAATCTTTGACCAAAAAAAGCCACGTAGGGAGCAAATGATGCCTCATATATGCTATATTTATTCTTTGTATGCATAAAACAGAGCATTAAAAGTTCCTTCTTTTTAAAGTCATGGTCTTTGATGCCTCTTTGCCAGTGTAGATGCTGCTCCCTTTCTGTTTTGAGTATTTTTTCCCTACTTTTGACCACCAGGTAAACCCTTACTCACCCCATCCAAAAACCCAAGAGAAAATAGAAATACCACAGTGGCTACAGGAACAAGCTTCCAAGTCAAAACAGATTTGAGCTCTCATTCTTTTACTATCCATATGTCTTAGCCATGTTTTCTTTACCTCTCTTAATCCCAGTTTAGTTCTCCACTGTACAATCCATGTGTTGTGAGGCCTAGAAAAGATGCCTGTAAAGCACCTAGCATGATATGCGGGATATTAAAACAAACAAGCAAACAACAACAACAAAATGTTAGCTGTTATTATGATGCCTGCATTGTGAAGTCTTCCCTAGCTAATCCACTGCCTCAAAGAGGATTAGTACTCCTTTTCTGTTACCCCATAACTCTGCATAGCTTTATTTAAATAAATACTAACTCGTAATTTTGTATTTCGTCTGTCCCTCCAAGAGTCTATGGAAGAGACTATGATTTATTTATCATTTTATTCCCAATGCCTGACACACAATAAGAAAAAATAATAAATATTGAATGAAGAAATAAATGAACTAACATCAAAAATGACACGTCAGTACTGGTGCAGCTCACTTCATCCTCTTGGGAGAACGATCACTTCCTGGAAGACCAGGACTCTTACTCAAGGCAGGTAAACCTCTTGTCTTCCTATATAGGTCTTCCTATATCTATTTCTCTGCCAAAAGTTACAAACCTTCTATACAGGGACACACTATAAACAAAAAGAACCCACATTTACCCACCAGTCAAATCACAATGCTTCCATTTCACATCTATCTTCCTGAAGTTTTCTCATATGCTATTTGCATGTTCACATTTCATCTGTGAAATGTATAATCCTTTAAAGAATCAATTGTTAATATATGTGTATGTGTCTTATTTTCTTTGGTTTTAAATAGTTGTAATTAGTACATCATTGTTCAAGCTATTTTTCTTAATTACTTTTAAACTTGTCCTTAGCCAGTAAGAAATTAGATTCTCCACAGGCAAAGACTCAGGGTTTTCAGCTTTTATTTGTTTTTCATGGTGCTTTGGTGTCTAGTACAGAGCCAAGGGAGCTGAATGACCCTCAATTGACCTTTCCAAGGTTTATCTTCACTGAATCTCAACATCCCAGAAAAGCACTAAAAATGCATGGCTTATAAGGTTTCCGGAGGTGGCCAAGAAACCATAGTTCTGTGCTGTATAGAGAGTGCTCAAGAATTATTGAACTAGTAAACAACTTACTGGGCTCAAGAAATTTACTCAAAGGGTGGAGGTAAGAGAAAGTCAATCCAGGAAAAAAAGCTGGTGCCTGACAGGGCATGACTGAAAAATCCTCCCAAACTCAATAATCAGATGACCAGTATTCCTCAACTCTGCCATGCCACCTCCTCCCTCCATGGAGATTACAAATCTATCCCAATAACTATATGCAAGGTGAGCCAATGAGATAGGTTCAAAACTGTCCAGAGATGTCCTTTCTGCCAACTTGGAGGTGAAAAATGAAACAAGGCTTCTCTCTTTCTCATCTTTTAACCACTCAGGGTACCCTAATAATTGGTAGAGTAGGACAAAGATAAAAAGTTAGTCTGTGTGATTATACATAGAAAACCACAGTGACTATGTCTCATAAGGCCTACTCATCTTGTAAGTCAGGGGTCACAATTCACTGTAATCAGAAAAAATCTAATGCACAAATTTTGTTCTGCTTACAAAAGATTGTTATTTTTAACTAGCAATTTAAAAACACAATGATCTGAATTTGCAGCTTCTCTGGAAAAATAAGAAGACTGTTGTACTATGCCCACATTCCACCTGGCTCACTTCACTTACTTACATTACCTGATGATACGCAAACATTTGAGCTTGCAGTCTCTCACAACAAAATCATTTCTATGATCACTTCCACCATGACCAAGATTCTAAATCACTTCACTGTTATATTTTCATTTAATTAAACAACTGCTATTGAATGTTGTATAACACTGAATATAAAGAAAAAGAGGAACAATGAAAGCTAAACAGCTGCCAATTACATTGTCACAGCTCTTGCAGCCTAAGGGTAAAATAAACCTCCCTTCCACTCAACTCCATCACACTGAACTACTGAACCACTAGACAGATTGTGATCAATCAAAAGAAGTGACTTAAAAGGCTAGGATGATCCTTCCAATGAGTATTGTATAAATGCAGTGGGTCTTCTCAAATGCAGGAGCTGTGTCTTTTTCCCAACTCCTTATATTAGCCAGTCTAAGTGTTCTGTTAATGAAGTTATTATTTTAAAATGGTAGTCATCTTGACTTCTTGAACAAAGAGAAATGAAATAGTGGAAACTCTGAGAACTTCAAAATTCAACAGGGATTGTTGACCAGCTGGTCATGAAGAGGTGTGTCTACAGCCTGAGTTCCCACTGTGCCAATGAGCACCACTGTTAAGATCAGAACATAATGTCTGTCTATAGCCACCTTTGAAAAGAAGTTCCAACAAGTCTTGTAAGGAAGAATTATTTTTCTGATTTGGAGTAGGGGTTAGAGGTGAAAAATTATTTTGATGCAGAAAAGTAAAGAAAGGCAAAATCTTTGATGCCTGAATCACTTCCAGGCCCAATTGAAAGGATGTTAAATTGGTCACAATAGTTACACAAGGACTATGTGGCCTATTATGCAAATCATATCAACTTAACACAGCATATCAACCCTGATGAGCATGGCAGGTCCACGAAACCTGGATACTTCTTGGGCTATGTCATATCAGAAGGCATTTTAAACTACTTTTTGGGAATTTGGCAACTTAGATCAGCAAGTTAAAATGCAAATTGTTTCCTGTACCATTTCTACCCCACTTATTTTATTTCTTATTTGTTTGTTTGTTTGTTTGTTTTTAAATACTTAGGGAAGGGGGTCCTTATCCCAGTTATTTTAAATAAAAAAAATACAAACAATAAATGCTGTCCCCCATCAACACACAATTTTAGAAGAGCAAAGGGCAATATGTAGGAAGAAAGTTAGATACTCTTGATCCTAGTTTTCCCTTCTAACATGAAGTTTTCACCCTCCTATTACTACTTAACCATGCAAAAGTCCTGACTACCAGGCCGCAAGTCAGAATCACATACTAAAACTAATCCTAGTTATAAATTAAAATTTTTGAGTGTCCACTGTTAGCTGAAAGGCATTAAGATGATACTGCTTTATCCCTACTACATGCTCTAGATAGGCTCCTATGCATACATGCTACTGCTTTGAAGTTGTGCAAAAACTGAGTAAAACAATCACTAAATACATCTATCCATTTGTAGATAGCTCTCCTCCACCAGGGCCAGAGGAGTACCTGAACTTAAAAATATACGCATTTCTTTGGTGTGCATTAAAAAACTCTATATTCACTATTCCCCATTTCTAAAGGCACTCTTTACCCTTGGGGGACTTTTATAGTTTCACAATACAGCAGTTTATCAAAGGTCATGACAGTGTCATAAACTACACTCTTTGGGGTTATGTTCCATCATTTACTCTGCTACATGATCCTACCACTTTTTAATTGGGTGAACTCTCCTAGGACTTTTATCCAGTAAAAACAATAGGCCAATAGTACCAAACCTCACCAGTATTCAAATTCCTCTCTGCTCTTGGCTAAACATGTCATAATAGAGTGGTTTTCTTATGATTGGACCTCATCTCCTTAGACCAAGTGAAGAGAAGATCTGGATAAGAAATGTCAACCAAAAACACACACCAATAAAAACACACAAAAAAAAACCATACAATACACCAGGAGAATGTCTGTAAGACCATATAAAATGGGCTCGAAGATAAGTCCAGTGTTTACATACAGACCCAGACCTGCAGCAAAGCTGCCCTGTAAGAGGAAAGCTTTCTCATAACCCAGATTCCTCCATTACTGGCCTCAGTCTTTCCACACCTCTTCTCACTATTTGAGGCTAAGTTGCAGTAGTTCATCATCCAGTATTAATGATTCAGCTGTCACACAGAAGCGGACGCTCTACAGAATCTGCCGAGACTCTCACATCTAAGGTCTAAAAAGCAAGCCTGAAAAATAAATACAGTGCTCTTAAGGTTTGCTTTCGATTCTTAAGGTGCTCTTTCGATTACAAAAAGCTGCAAAGAGAGGAGCTGACGGCTAGGTTAAACCAGGGAATACAAGAAGGATTCCGGCAGCCGAACAGGATCATAAATCAGAGTTGAAGTCGCCCCTTCTGCGCCAGGGGCCTGACCTTTGCACCCTGCACGCCTCCCAGCTTTCCCCCACCCCGCTCGTCCCGCCACGACAATCTCTCCCTTGTCATATTCCGGCCCCTGCGTCCTCATCCCACCCCGGCTCGTACAATTTAAGAGCCCTTCTCCCCTTATTCAGGGCGGCCTTCACGTCACTGGAACTCTAAGAAGAGACTTCGCTGACCTGTCAGCGGATCCAAAATGGCGGGGCCTAGTCCCAGGACCAGCAGCCACAGCTCATGACAGCCCGGGTCCCGAAGCCGACTCCGAATAGCCCTCCCGATTCTGGTGGCAGGTGGGATAAGGGAAGGAGCTCGCTTCCTGGAAGTTAAGGCCAAAGCCAGGGGCCACACAGTCGGCCGGGAACAGTGGGCCGGAACGGGCGGTGAAGCCGGCTACCTTCCCTGTCAGCTCACTGACGTGGTAACTCGACTCAGTCTAGCCCGCTGCCTGGTAACTGCGCGAGCCCCGCCGCGCACAGCCAATCATAACTGCGCACCGGGAAAGTGGCATTCCATCTACCCAATCAAAGAAAGAAACTGGCTTTGGGAGGCGGGTAGTACCCAAGTGGGCGAGATTACCAGGGAAAGAAAAGGTAGGTAGGGGACAACCAATGGGTACGAGGATTAGATGATTGACAGTTTTACAAGCCAATTAAAAAGCGAAAAATTGTACTGGGCGGTTGGAGAGGCGGAGTTTGATAGAGTTCGGTTGCAGTGCGCAAACTTGGCCGTGGCTGCTGGGCATTATGGGGAGGAAAGCTATGATTTGCTGCGAAGGGGGCGGGGTCCCTTTTGAGAGTTGAGCGGGCGACCCTGCTTCGCGTACATACCACCCTTTCTATACACTATCAAAGTCTGCTAGGCGATCATTTATTTTCGAGGCAGCTCTGAGCTCCCTCCATCCTAGAATCAGTCCCACAATCTAATTAACTACTCCTGCCCCACCCTCCCACCTGTCTGCGCGATTTGGCTTCTCATAGTTGTGTCTGTCCCATAGCCATACTAAATCTGTTCCTGCATCTTGTGTCCCATTCCTAACATGCAGAAATAGAGAAAATGAGAAGTGTAGTTCAGGTCTCTTCACTTTACAGAGCAGGAAACTGAATCCTGGAGCAGCAAACCCAGAAGTCCTCATACCCAGTTCAGCTGTCTTTTTCACTGTCCCTCACTACCTCTTATACCTTATTTTATCAGACGGTGACTCCCAACTCAGTCCCCCACACGAAACCGTGGACACTTTATATCCACCTGGAAAAAACTAACCACAGGGGTTAGTCCACATCATCAGTGACAGAAAATTGAAGACTTTCCTTTTTTGCTTTATAAATGCTAGGATGGTTGAGAGCTAGATGCCCGTGTCAGTTTTCACTCTCCTCCTCCCAGCTGCCTCTCCTTTTGCAAGAGACTATAGAGGTTGCTAGGATATTTAGAATTTCCTAGAAGTGAGTGTGTAGGATAAGGACAGGAGAATGAGTTTTCCTCTTGCAGACTGAATGGTGGAATTTTCAGTTTGTCTACTGGAATAGAGCCCAGGTGTCCTTAACGACCTGGAGAGATCGCTGGGAGGCAGTGAAAAAAAGAGACCAACTCTCTCCCCATTTCCTCCCACTTATAGATAACCAGAGAAGTTCCATACTTACCAAGAGAGGACAAGCCCCCCAAGAGAGGACCAGGCTCCCCCAACCCCCCAAAAGAGGACCAGACCCCCCCAGGCCCCCAGAGTGAGGACCAGCCCCCCATGGGGCACAGATGTGGCACCCAGTGCTGGATGGGCAGCAGCCCTGGCTTCAGGATGGCCGGCCGTCCCCACGGGGCATGGCCTGGGCAAGCCAAGAATGCAGATTGACAGGTGAACTGCCCAGGCCTCTGAGAAGTGCCCAAACCAAGTCCTGAGAGCCTCCTTTAGTTTTGAGGGATGGAGGGGATAGGGTGGTAGGTTACCTGTCCAAGGTCACTCAGTGATGATGCAGTGCATAAAATGCTTAGACTGAGGCTTTGATGCTTTGTTTCATCCCAAACTGTTTTGTCCACAAAGCCACCTTCCTTGGTGGAGAGAGGAAAGTGGGGAGGGAATGGAAGATAGCAGAGAAAAGAATGAGAAAGATATAAGGAAAAAAAGAGTAGAGAGAAAAAAAGAAATTAGTCTTTCAAAGTGACAGAAGAATGAGGAGAGGGACAAACAGCCGAAACAAAGCAGCAGAAGAGAAAGAAGAAAGACATGGGGGAATTGGAACAGAGACAATGGGTAGAGACAGCGACAAGTGAAGAATTCAGCAAAACTTGAGCGAGCGGCAACAATTTCTGAGTTCTGAGACCCAAAGGCCTCTCCAGGCCATACGCACTTCCACCTGACCCCCTGGAGAGCTTCTACCGACACGGGCGGCTCCCAGGTCTTACGTCGCCGCGGGCGGGTCCGGCCTCTGCGGGTCACCAGGCCGATTCTATTCTCGCCGGCTCGGCTCTGCTGAAAGGATCTTGCTGGAGCGCGGTTTCAGCCACGTGGGAGGGGCGTGGCCCGGCTGTTGAGGAAAGCCTCCGATTGGCCAGGGGGCGGGCTTCTTGGCTTCTGGACCCCTCCTCTGAAGGCGGGGCCTGAAGATTCACAGCTGGAAAGGGTGGAGCCCAGGCCGCGCAGCTGGAAGGGGGCGGACCCCGACGCGCGAGGCTCGCTGCTGCGGGCTGGGGGCGCCCTGGGCTGCCATAAAGTGAATGGGCGCTGGCGGGGGGTGGCAGACCGCGGCGAGGCTCATTCGCTCCCTCTGCAAGTCCGGGAGCTCCCGAGCGGAGCGGCGTCCGGGCGCAGGGGGGCGGCCCCCACCCCGGCCGGCCGGGTGCCCGGCCCCTGGCCCCTGCCTGCCCTCCAGACTGCGGCCGCTGTCGCCGCCGCGGGGAGTTTGCCTACTGCGGGACTCACTGTGAGTGCTTGACCGTGCGGGGGACGGGGGCTGAAGGGGTTGAGGGGTATGGTCGGACTTCGCGAACCCTAAAACGGAGTCTGGGGCGGCTGAACTTGGGAACGGCACTTGGGGGACAAGTGGAGACGGGAATGGAGGACTACACACCCGGGGCCAGGACTTGGGAAAGGGAAACTTAGCTACCGGACTCGGGAGACAGAGAAAGGGGAGACTCGGGGAATCTGAAGGGAGACCAAAAGAAGACAGCAGGACAGGGTCTCCGTGAAGTAGGGGTTAGAGAGAATCAGGGGAACCAGGACCAGAAAGCGCCCTGGAATCCGGGGACGCGGGACAGGCAGCCAGAGAGTGAAAGGGGTTGGCGAGTCCCTGGGCAGCTGGGAGAGCTGAAGGCGGCCGCCCAGCATGGGGACAGTTGGGGCACCCAACGCCCCTCTCGGCTGGTTCTCAGATTCCAGACGCTGGGAGCAGGGGTGCGTCTGGTTCTTTTCCCAGCTGCTTCGCAGTTGGGATGTGAGCTGAGTTGTGAGAGCCCGGACGTTACCGGGTCTGACGGCCGCTGAGCCGGAGGCAGCGTCCAGGCTAAGCAGCAGGAGTGACCAGGCGGCAGGTCAGGCGTGTCTGGCTTGGGATGTCAGGGCCGGGATGGGTCCCAGTCTGGAGCCGCCTCCGAATCAGACGGAATGTCCGCAGCTCACCGCGCTCAGAGCGGACAGAATGTCCGGGGCAGAGAGGTGGGTCTCTCAGGCGCTGTCAGGCAGCAGCGAACAGAATGTCCCTGGCTGAGTGGCATGTCCATCTACCCAGCAGCGCCTGCCCAGCTGCTGCGTGCCTGGTGGGCTTTGCTATAGTGGGTCCCCTCGAAACCCAGCTCGCACTTTATAAACTTGCTTCTGTTCCTAGGGGCTGTGGAGGACAGGAGCAGGGAGTAAGAGTAAAGTCTGTAACTTGGGCCTTGGGGTGGAGTGGCACTGGCAGACATTCCCTCTCCAATCCAGACTAGACCGCAGCATCTTCCAGACTTACAGAATAAGATTATGATGCAAGAAAGTCAATGGTGGGATTATTACTGGAAATCAAGGCCAGGAAAGGAGGAGCCCAGCACAAGCCCCTGATGGCCCTAGTTTCTTCACAAACTTCGAGTCAACTCCTCACTGCGATACAGCTGGCCAGACAACCCCCTGACTCCGTGGTTGGGTGTCAGCAGGATAAAGAATGCTTCCCTCAGGGGCCCAGAGCCCAGGCCTGAAGAGAAAACTGCAGCCCTTTACCAAACCCTATGGTCTTGTTTCCATGTTTGCTTCCTTACCTCCACCAGCCCCAAAGCCTGGTGATTGAGAAGTAGGAAGGAGAAACAAACACAATCCAGATTCTAGAGTCCAACATGGGGCCTATATGATTCATCAAGTCTGGTTGGAAAGGATGTGTCAGCTCTCTCCAATTGCTCCATTTGCTTTCCCTGTGGCTGGGGGAGGGCCCTGATTTCTCTGGATTCACTTGAGGACCACCCACCCACCCACCAACTCGTTAGGGATCCAGTTAAGCTGAAGGGAACAAAGTAGAGGAAACTATCTCAGTCTATGCTAAGTGAACAGAACAAGCTTGTTGGAGACTAAGTTTTCATGGGGATAAGTGCAAGATGATGTGCACTTGTGCTTAGAATGAGTAATCTGAACAAGTAGTTCTCAACCTTTCTCATCTTCCACCTATGAATGATATGCAATGCTATTCCCTACTCCCCCTCCTCAAGTCCTTGATTTTAAAGTTTGCTTATCCTCAGCTAGGACATTGTTCCTCAACCTTTTTGTCCCTTGTTCCCTTTTGATAAATACAGAATCACACTCCAAGCTACCCCCTCCACATTCTGATACCCTTTACAGGGGCTTATGTTTCCATTGTCTCTGAAAATCTGAAATTGTGGATGAAATGAAAAGTTATGTGTGAAGAAAGGAATAGGGAAGGCATTACAGATAGTCCCCTAAAGACCTTAGCCCAAAGTTCTGCTTTTGCCAAAAGGTGAAAGGAACATTATAATGAAGATGACTGGAAACAAAAGACAGACCCTCTTTCCACCCTTGCATAAAACCATGGAGCTGAGTGCACGCCTGGTCACCGGCTCTTAGAATGTCAGGGGCCTAGAGAAGGGTCAGAGAGTGGCCAGAGACCGCAAATTTCAAAGTTGAAGTCCTGTGGAAGATGAGATAGGATGGAAACCCACAAAATAATGAAAGGCTAGAAAAGCAGAAGACTTAATTGCTTCCCCAACCCTGAAACCGGAGATGAGGGGCCTCTTAGAACTGGAGCAATGCAAGTCATGATAAATAGGAAAATACACCTTGGCACACAGTGGGCAGCAAACTTCCAGAACTCATTTCCAGAGAGGTGGTAGAGGCAGGAAGTAGAAATGGAATCCTTCAGGGCTTCAGAGGATCAGAGCTGTCAGAGCCACAAATGGCTGCTGGGGTGGCGGGGGCGAGGAGTGGAAGGAGCTGGATTTGAAACTCTTCAATCTGTGTAACCTTG